CCCCAAAACCCCAAAACCCCAAGAGTCATTTATGAACTTAACTGATATGTCTGGTAAATTCAAATTCAAATTAAATTAAGAATAAAATCAAGTCTATCAAATATATTAATGTCTGAGTGTCAAATTTGTTTGCTTCCTTGGTCGGATTAATTAAATAAATATCCAAGAGTCCTAGAATGTGGTCACACCTTTTGCCTAGAATGCATTTCTTAATGTATTAAAGTCAAGGATACATAGAGTTAAGATTAGCCTAAGTTCAATCTTAAATGCCCAACTTGCAGAGAAGTTACATCCTGCGTTTCCTTAAACTCATTGCGCAAGAATTACTAATTAATTGAACTAAATAAATTATACCTATAACAGTAGAGCATGTATGTCTAGCATGGCATGAATCAACAGCAATTAAATAATAAGAGAATCCCACTTTCTGATATAAGCAATAGCCTAAGAAGTGATTAGCAATTTGAAATTCAAAGGTAAAGAGGAATTTCGAAAGAGAACAATCAGAGATCTAAAAATGAACTGAATATCAGAGAAAGGAATAAATCAAGAGATTTTGAAAGAAGCCCTGAAGAAAGTAAACATGAAATTAGAAAGAGAGAAGCGATAAGCTCGAGTGGTTTAGACTTTGATGAGAGTGAATATGACAACTTCAAAATTGAAAAGCCTGACATCATGCAAATAAAAACTCAAGCTAAAATTGTTAAATGCAAAGAGATCAAAGAACTGCCATCAATTTCATAAATGAGAGGCCCATCCAGCAATCCTCATAATGACCCAATATTTAATGGTTATGGCTATTACAAGTTTTCTGAACGAGTTTCCTATGAAGGTGAATGGAAAAATGGTAAAAGACATGGTTTAGGTTATCTAATGAACCAAGATAGTGGATGGGATTTCTTAGGAGAATTCTAAGATAATCATATTCATGGATTTGGAAAGTATATTTGGAACAGTGGTGATGTTTATATAGGTTTTTTCACTCACAATGAAAAAAATGGGTTTGGAATATATAAATGGCAAAATGGTTCAGCTTACAAGGGCTTTTGGAAAAATAATAAGAAACATGGTCTTGGAGATTACACTTACCCTGACAAGAGCTATTACTACGGTTATTATAGTTATGATAAGCCAGATGGATTAGGATTATATGTCTGGCCAGATGGTAATTACTATCAAGGTGAGTGGAAAAATGGAAGCAGAAGTGGAATCGGGTACTTCAAATGGTCTAAAAATAAGGCACATTATGTGGGCTGGTTTAAAGACAACTTCCTAGATGGTAAAGGAGCTTTTCATTACGAAGATGGATCTTATTATAAAGGAGAGTTTGTGAGAAACAAAAGAGATGGATATGGAAAGAGTGTCTGGTCTGATAAGTCTTATTACATTGGCTATTGGTCAAATGGAGAAAAAGATGGAATTGGAAAGCTTGTTTCACCAGCAGGAGATGTTACTGAGGGTATATGGAAAAAAGGTAAAAGGTTATGATATTTTTGAATATTTCCTTAACTTCTTGATTAATAATCAACACTCAGTTTGGGGTTTTGGGGTTTTGGGGTTTTTGGGG